GAAGGCGACTGCAGATGAGAAATGACTAGGGTTTGGGGGTAATTGGGAATTAAAAAAGGAAAGGTTTAATGGCAGCCGTTGATCATTTTGATCAACGGCCTGGATTGAATGGGAATCCGGGCGGGTTGTGTAAAAAGGGTCGTGGGTCGGGTAGGCCTAGGATTTGGGCTGGGTGATTGGTTTTTTTAAAATGGGTTCAAATTGGGAATTCAAATAAGGCTAAAATTGAAATGAACAGGGCTAGCATTTAAATAGCCATTTTTCCCTTGTTTATTTTACAAAAATAGTAGAATAATTTCTAATAAATTAAAGGTACTAAAATGATTAGTAATACGTAATTATCAAACTAAAAAATACTGGAGTCAATTTTATAATTATAAACACAATCAAACCTTAAAAGCGGCTAATATTACAAGTATATACAATTTAGCTTTTAAAATACTAAATAAATTTGTAAGAGTGTGCAAAAATTATATTATCTATATTTTAGTATAAATATGAGAGTTTAATAAATAAATTACCAAAATGATAATTTTGGGAGTAATTATTGGGCTTTTCTAGATAAAATGGGGTAACAAATTGATTTAAAAAATCTTTTTAAAATTAAGAAAAAATAATAAAATATTTGAACATACCTATATATGCATACATATGCTATTTTAAAAGTATTTTGCATATTAAAATATATAGAAAAAAATTGGGTATCAACACATATTGTAGTTCTTCTTAAATTTTATAGTGGTTCTTGTATATAATGGAGTGTCATATGTTCCTACATTTGTGCCTGGATTTGAACCTAGTATTCCAGCATTTGCTGCCATTGATTTTTGGCTTTCATCACTACAGTTATGCCATATGCTTGGTTCACAGTTGGAAGAGGACTTCTCATAAGAATCTGACTCCTAGCTTGACGTACAACTTATTTAGACCCATCAAGAACTGATACAGCTTCAGTTTTTGTAAGTACACCACAAAATCTCTAGATTTTGGGCAATCACAGCCTGGAGATAGCACTAGTGCCTCAAATTCTTCCAACATATCTTTGAGTCTTGAGTAATATACAGATATAGACGAAGTTCCTTGGTTCAAAAAAGCAATTTCTCTATGAAGATTAAAAGATCTTGTGCCATCAATTTTGTTAGATCTTTCAGACAGATCATCCCAAACTACTTGTGCACTAGATGCATACATGATTCCTCCTAGTAAACCTTTGAAAACAGAATTCATAATCCAAGACAAAACAATGGCATTTACACGTTCCCAATGATTCCACATTGTCAAATAGAAGTTTTCTTTCTTACATGTTCCATCTACTAGGCCTAATTTGTTTCGACCTAACAGAGCAGCACACATAGACCTATGCCAAATAGAGTAATTCTCAATGCCAGTTTGCTGGCGACAAGATTAGAGGATGATTGTAATCAACTCCGGCGACTGGATTCACTCCATTCATCATGTTCCCATTAATCTAAGTCACACGCTCCCCTGAACCAAGACTATTTGTGGCTCCTAATTGTTCTTCAGCTGAACCCATTTCTTGAATTCCAAAATTGGAACTTTCAGAGAAAGGATTTAATCAATAATTCGGTTTTCCAACTTCAAATTTTTCGAGCAAAAGATCTGATACCATAAAGTAATCTGTAGTGTGCTAGCTGAAATATTCAAGAACAGAAGAAAGAGGAAGATGAAAGAAGAAGGTGAACGAGAGAAGAAGAGAGATAGAGAGAAATGATAATCTTCAGAAGTGTTATTAATCTGTTGAGTATCAATGAGTACAAATGGGGTACTAATATATTAACTAATTTTTGAAATTCACTAACTAATTAACCATCTTAACTACCGTTAACTAACGTAGTGTGTAATATCCATAATATCCATTCATTATAATAGTTCATTTCTCAACACACCTCCCTTCCCCCTCCTCCCCCCCCCCCCGAACCACGTCTTCCTCTTGCCATACCCATCTTCATCTTTCTCCCCCAGCCCATACGACGGTTAGAGCTTCTACCAGTATAATCAACAACTATTTTTTAATCTAACCAAAAAGAATAAATAGAAAAATGAATAATGAATTGAAAATTGGTAATTAAAGAAGCTAGAACCCAGGTCTTAAGGAGAAGACCATAAGGATTTTGAAAAAAGAAGATGAGAATAGTTAAATGCAAAAAGAAAGGAGGATAATCTTAGCCATGATAGTTAAATTTTTAGAACATGCCAGAGTTTTCATTACCGGCAACACTAGTTTGGCCCCGACGTTATTCTGCTCATGTAATGCCAGGAGCAAATTTTTTTCTATTTTATTTGATGTTCTTTTTGTAGATTAGAAAATTGTTGCTATTATTATAATTGATTACTGAATTATTTAAGGTGTATCAGTGGAATAGGATTATGAGAAGAGAGAAGGGAGGAGAGAAGGCAGATCTGGTGGCGGGAGAGATGAGGAAAGAGAAAAAAAAAAATAGATGTGACTTTTTGAAAAAGAAAAAGAAAAAATCTAATTTGAGACTCATTCACGCACGGTGAAGAATACTGGTTTTGCCACATCAGTATTTGTATTTAGTAGGTATATTTTTATTGAAGTTGAAGCGTTCAATAAGTAGTATAGTAGTTTGAGTTGAAGTGTCAAAATAGAAATTGGAGCCAAATTTAAGTGGTTATCTAGATATTTGGTCTTTATTTTTTTAAAGAGAGTGCAAAATCAAAAATAGACAACTAAAAATTGACGATGAAGTACCAACTAAAGAGATTCTCTTAGTTAGGTGTTCCTTAACTAATTGACAAGTAAATGGTTATTTACTCCAGTAGTTAGGGCTTCTAATCAATCGTGTCTTGTTTATTTATTTCAAGTTGTTTGAAGGGCAATATCAAAAGAGTCCATAAGCATGCCATATCCACAACTTATGATACATCATTATTGTTTTTTTTTCTTCACTCTCTCTCTTTGTGAAATATCTATACTCCTTCTGGTGTATTAATAAATTGGCTATCACCTACCAACTGCCTTAGCTTATATTTATCTAACTTCGTTTATTTTAAAAGAAAAAATTGACTCTTTCTCTGAATTTCAGTTTTCTTCTTTTAATAAAAACTGTAATTTCATTGCTCAGAGACACGATATTACATACTGTTCTTTTCTAATATATCAAAAATTGGTAAAGTATCATGTTGTTACCGTCGTTCAATTAAGTTGTAATTATGAATAAGGAGTATTATATTTTATTAGCTATGATAAGATTATTATTATTATTATTATTATTATTAATTATTATTATTATTATTATTATTATTATTATTATTATTATTATTGTTATTATTATTATTGTAAGTTAGACCGAGCGTTCCAAAATTGATAAACTAGCCAAATTAGTCTTTTTCGTGAATCAAATGTTAACTAATTTTAGATGCTAACTATTGGAGAAAATGATTAATTTTTATTGCAAAAGTTCCTCGCTTTGGAATGGTAGAATTATACTATTTAAATTGTATGGCTAATATTTAAAATTATGTCTGCTTATATGAATTTGTCGTGCATTTTCCCTTAACCTAAGATAGGAGGGACATGAAAGAGAGAGCTTACAGCCGAGCTTCACTCTTACATTGAATTTGTTGTATTTTAAGATGATTTTATGAATTAACATGCATTATATTTCTAAAAGTAATTAAATTGAATCCCAGCACTGGATTATAATTACTCCAATTTGATAAATTCAAAAAAGTTGGATTTTGACCTTTCATGATCACCTGAGAACGTTTAGAGGTTATCTTGTCAGAACGAGTTTCAAGGCTAATCCCAACCTTATTGTATTTCAAAAATTTAATTAAAATCAGGCATCCTTTGCCCCTATCTCAATCCAAGTAAAATACTTTAGTTTCCTAGAAGGCACTGAAAAGGTCCTGAGTCTACATTTCTTTGAGTTCAAGGATTTCTATGAATCTTATAATCTAAGTAACAAGCTTTCATTCTCTGAAAACTTTGTGTCAAATTCAGGACTTACTGCGACAGCTAAAAGCATCATCAATTTATCGCTGCACTGAAAATCGCCAATCAAAACATTTTTTGACTTTGAAACATTTGGATTGACTTGCAGCCTGGTGCCCGGGGCGTACGCAGGAATTTTTGTATGCAGTGTCGAAATTTATAGAAGAACCGGAATAATAACGTTAATTATCATACTTCCAGACATGAAATAGTCATAGTCTATTGGTTTTGTTGAGTGTTAAGTAGAAAAGGTCCTGAGTTCAATTATACTTAATCACAATTTTTAACCATACATGCTCTCTCAAATATTTGGAAAAAAAATTGTGCTAGTTGAAGTTCGAACCTTTGACATCTTTGAGCAAAATCAAGCACATAGCCAACGTACCGAAAGACAATTTATGTCAAATGGTGTTATTTTTTCCTATTTATCCGTTTCCTCACGGTATTAATATATATAATTAGTAAAATATTTCGACGAAGTGGTATCCTTAAGCGTGGATCCGCCCCTGCTGGTGCCAGGGGCGGATTTAGGGGGTGGAAGGAGGGGGTCCGACCCCGCTTCATCGGAAAACTACACTCTACATATAAGGCAGATCTATTTTGTGACTCTATATATTATATTTTGAATCCTCTTGGCATACCTAAAAGCATAGCTCAACCGTAAATGGGGTTCAAAACCTTGTGAGGTTGTTGGTTTAATTTCCATTTGCCATAATCTCTTTTAAATTTTTAACCTTTTCTTTTTGAACTCCCTTAGCTGAAATCCTGTTTCCGCCATGCTTGGTGTACTAAGCTCGCATGAGTTTTGGAAAAGTGTTGGACCACATTATGTATATTATACCGAGTTTTACCTCGCATTTCTACAAGACCGCGTTTCCACCACTACATTTTACTTGGTATATTTCAGTTGTTAGCACCATGAATCACTGCGGAAAAGTTAATAAAATTTGATCACCTGGCACACCTTTAATATTCATTCCAAGTAACTGATCATGCCAAGCAAAAGTAAGATTCTCAGTCATCATCCTTCATGCTATAAGGAATTATACTTATAATTTGGTGCACAACACGTTACAGATGATGTTGAGGTGGTAGAAGACTAATTAATTTATGAACTAAAGCTTTTTAACATACCTGTACAACGAGTGTAAGTCAGTTAGATTTCAGACTTAAAATTACCATAAATCCCCATTTTTCTTCTGTTATGTCATGATTCAGGATCTTGAACCTTTCTTTTGGACACATAATATAGAGAACAACAATGTTTTTGAGCAACTAAAATTTGTTCACAATGGAAGTACTGAACTTGGATTTCGATGTTGTTTCGAGAATAATGACCTCCCACCATAAGACAATGACCTCTTCATTGAAGAAGCACTCTCCATCACCCTTTTCGTTCTTGAATTTGAACCTATTTCCTCATTTCTTGTTGTCTCAACGCAGCTTTTTTCACCTCCATCCTTTGGTAACACAACCATTTGTAGTCCTATGGTTGTAGAAATTGAAGAATCCATAGAAGCAGACCTCCTCATTGGTTGTACTTCCATATCTTTATCACCCCTTTCTTTTTTCGAAGTTTCAGGACGTTCAATCACACCCGTCACTCTCCTCACATTTTCTTGAAATTCCTCATCTCTGGCTTCATTGTTGCTATTCACTTCTACAATTATCTCTCTTTGTGAGCCATTATCTTCATTGGAGCTCATATTAGTACTAGAGATGGGGTCGATTGTACCCACTGGAGCAGACGTTGCAGTGTTAGAGACGATGGCAGCACGACACAAGGGGCAGTTTGTGTGTGATATAAGCCATGTGTCAATACAATGGATGTGAAAGGCATGGTTACATTTTGGTAACAACCTAAGAGAATCATCATCTTGGAATTCATTTAAACAAACAGAGCACTCTGTTCCATCAATCAAACCATCCCCCTTTTTGTACTTGAAAATTGTGATTAAATTGATAACTGAAGGCTGAAGACCTACGGTGTTGATATACCAAATGGGATGATCAATAACCGGACCTCGATTTTCATCCAAGAACTCTTCGCTAACGCCTTCTGATTGTGTTCGTGAGTGTCTCCTACGTCTCCAATTCGTGCAGTTCCTCACGACGATTATGTAGTAGCTGAGAAGTAGGAACAAGCTAGCAAGCAAGGCGACGGAGATGATTACATAAGGTGAAATGATTTGAACATTTTTGTTACTCGATTGAGGTGCCAATTGTGGCTGTAGTAGTGCTGGTGGTGGCATGTAATTGTCCATATCAGGGTATGGATAACAGCCATAAGGACATGTTAAGTCACAAACATCATGACAATCAGCTGTTTGGTTTGAAGTTGGAAATAGCTTTCTTGGTTTTATGGCCATTGAGTTATCAAAGAGAATGGTGAGAATTTTTTAGAGTTGCTAGGAGTTTGATCTTGAATAAACAATAATGGAGTTAGGTTAGGTTGTGGCTAGAAAATGATGATTTGGTTGAGGAGTCATTGTGATCCATGTATCTAAACTTTCTCTGAAATATGTAGTTGTCAATGAAGAAGCGTGGCAAGATTCCTTAGCTCTGTTTTAGTTAATTTGAAAGAGAATTCTTATGGTTAATTGAATAAAGAAAAGGGAAAACTACCCAAATTGTTACTTTATGAAAAATTTCACCCAAAACTAGCCCAAAACAAAATATTTATCCAAAATGGATCAAATATCATTTTAATTCAAAAACTTTTCAAGTAATTAATGTCAGTTTCTCTTCGCTCTCCCTTTTACTCTTTACTGGTAGATTACAATTTGTAGGTTATTTCAATCTGCTCGTGCATGAAAAGAGCCTTAGTTCGAAGATGACTAATAGCATTTCAATCTGCAAGCTAATGACAAAAATTCAAAAAAGAGATAAACGAAAGTCATAAATGCAAGTATTTTGATATAGTAACTTAGTAAAATAATTTGAAAAGTGAAGAAGATGAGTTAAAACTCAATTGAAACCATTGAAGCTCATTTAAGCTTGAGTTTGAAAATTCTTTTACTACGAGTGAGTGTTGTTGGAATAGATTGGGTATATCCCAAGGAGTTTGAAACTCAATTCTGGGATGAATTGATAGAGATTTGAGGTGGTTTGAATTTATTTGAGCCAAATTTAAGGTAAAACACAAACATAGAAGAAGATGAGATGTGTATCACACTGTGTATCTTCCGTGTATCATTTGTGTATCACGTATGTATCATATATATATATATATATATATATATATATATATATATATATATATATATATATATATATATATATGTTTATCCAAGTATACATGTATCTGAGATACATGCGTGATACCATGTTTAATACATGTGTCTTTGATATCAAATAAGTCCAAATCACCTCCAATCGTACTCAAATTTTATATATTGCCTAATCTACCTGTTTTCAATGAATTCCAACCATACCCATTGAAAAACAAAATCCTTTTGTGCCTATTTTTTTTTTAATATTGTATATCATTGGTAAACGAATTTTGACTTCAAATTAGTTCAATTCACCTTTAGTCTTTCTCAAAGTTTGTATATTGCCTCATTGATGTGTTTTCAACGAATTTTAACAATACCCATTTAATGAAAATCTTTTTTTTTTGCCTAGGATTTTTTGAATGTTGTATATTATTAGTAAAAAATTTAGCTATTCTTGATAGCATGATTAAAATGGCTAATTATTGGTAAGTCTTGTCTTTTGTGGTACATCAATGTAGCCTGAAGATTTATTTAGAAATGAGTCATAACTCATAAGTCAAATATTTGAATGTCAAGCAAAAATAAATGATAAAAACTTATCCGTATCGGGTGTTTACACCAAATCAATAGATACATGACATGTATCTTGCATATGAACTTCAATCATTTAACCATTAAATGGTAAATTATATGCATTCTCATTAATTAAATTAATTAACCATGGTGAGTTAATATAGTTTGTGTAAACACCCGGTGTGAGTAAATATTTACCTAAATAAATATTATGTCAGAGAGTCAAGCTAGCTGAAATAAACATTGTGGCAATGGCGTGTTGAGGTGTTGGATTGGAAAGATCTTTATATTTGTTTTTTAAAAAAAAAAAAAAGAATAGAACATGACCATAACAATTGTTTGGCAATAGTGAAAGTAAGGATAAAGAGTTAATTCTGCGCTTAAAAGTGAAGCTGAAGTATAAAGATTGCAAATGAGTTGTTTCTCTAATCCCTGAAACAACTCTTTCACCTTACTAATTTTTTTTCCTAATGGTCTGGCTTTGGTGAAATAGGAAACTTTACTGTAAAATAGTCGCCGTAATAATGAGTGCTACATATGAAGCAGAAATTTCGCCGTCTAGGTAACAAGTCAACATCAAAATGCGTAATAAAAGCAAAATTTGGTAGATTAGGTCATTAAAACTGATTCTGGTGAGTGGTACTAACAATAATAGTAGAACAGCCAACTTGCCTAACGATAATTACTTCTCACATCTAAGCTACAGACCATGTGGTCATATTCAGAGTAGCCTATAGGCTATATCTCATATCTGAATTACCAATTTTAATGATTTAACCCTTTGTTATAAAACCAGAGTCAATTTGGCAGAGCTAGAACGGGTTACCTCGACTCAGTTTGGAAATCTTTTGATTCCGTGAAAAATGCAAGTTAAAATTGGTGCGTCTTCGTAAAAGCGCGATTCCAATCCAAGCTTATACTTTAAGGGCTCGTTTGGTACGATAAATAAGCAAGAATAATTTTGAGATAAAAATTTAGTGCCCCGCCTTTGTTAGGTTAAAACGGCACCAAGATACTCTTAACATAGTATGATATTGTCCGTTTTAAATACAGCATGCAAGATTTTCCCCAAAAGACCTCACACCATTAAGAGCTCGTTTGAATGGGCTTTTAATCTGGCCAAACCAGCTTTTAAGTCGTTTTCAGCTTATTTGAGTGTTTGACAAAATCAAAAGGTGCTTTAAATAAGTTAAAAAGTGCTTAAAATAAGCCAAAACTCATAAGCCGGATAACCTCAATTTATTACTTTTTAGCTTAAAAGTTATTTGCCTTTGACCAATTAATTCACTATTTTATCCCCTAAAATAGTAAATTCCAAACGTACCCTTCAGGCCAACAAATAAACAAAAGTAAGAGCCATTTCATGACCGCTCCTTCTGCATTCCATTACACCATCAGAAGAATTAAAAAGGTCACTGCCTTTACAAGATAGGAATCCCCTCTCACATACCTTGGATGCCCCCTCTACACTGGAGGGAAAGAATTGTGCACTTCAATTGTATCATCTCCAAAGTAGTCAACAAGATTAGAGGCTGGCATGGTCATTTATTATCTTATGGGGGCAGACTCACTTTGATAAAGCATGTCTTGCAATCTCTCCCCATACATTTGCTTTCTGCTGTTTCACCCCCTAAGACTGTCCCCAGACAAATTGAAAAGCTGCAGCTAATTTTTTTTGGGAATGGATAAGGAGAAAAACAAATACCATTGGGCTTCATGGCATACACTATCTCACCCTATAGAAGAAGGTGGCATTAGTTTGAGATCCATTGAAGATGTCTGCATATCTATGGAGTATAAACAGTGGTGGTGGTTCAGAACCAAAGACACCTTATGGAGTAAGTTCCTGGCTGCCAAGTACTATAAGAGAGCTCACTCAATAGCCAAAAAAAGGAACTCTGGCCAATCTCAAGCATGGAAAAGAATGATGATAAATAAGAATAATGCTGATAACCACATACTCTAGAGGTTACACTCAGGCAACAATAGCTTCTGGTGGAACAATTGGTTAGGTACTGGACACTTAGCCTCCTTCAGACTGGGTGGGGGTAGACCTCGCAACATCAAGGTCTCTCATTTCTGGGATTCTGGGCAATGGGATGTTCAAAAACTCTACCAGGTTGCCCCCATAGATATGATTCCACACTTACCTTCAAGTCAATATCCACTATGATTCACAATCTCCTGACAAGGCAATTTGGCAACCTACCAGTTCTGGAGAATTTTCTTGTGCTTCTGCATGGTCAGTAATCAGAGAGAAGAGACATATCCTTCTAACTAACAAGATGACTTGGCACAGGAACTTCCCTTTCAAATGGTCTTTTTGCTTATGGATGGCCTTAAGGAACAAACTCCCCACAGATGACAGGGTGCCTAAATTTGGACCTCCCACTGTTAACAAGTGTGCATGCTCCACCACACCTGCTGCTGAAACTGTGGATCACATATTCAGCTGTGGGCACTTTGCAAGAATTATCTGGAAGCTATTTAGCACACATATTGGCATTCAAAGCAACATGCAACCCTTAAGAATCATTCTTATGAACCGGTGCTTGCAATCAAGGAAAAATAAAGTGCAGAAGCTGATCCTTGACACCATGCCAATCATAATTTGTTGGAACTTGTGGAAAAACATATGTGCTACCAAATATGGAGAAAAATCATCAAATGTCACTAGAACTTTGTATTTTATCACCTCTGACACCCTCCTTTTGCTCAAAACTACTTATGCTAACACCATGTGGCCACCTAGCTGGACAGAGATCTACCCTATTATTGAAAATCTAAAGCAACACATAAAGGTCCATCAGGTTCTGTGGCTTAGACCAAATCTGGGCTATGTTAAGGTAAACTTTGATGGCAATGCACTGGGCAATCCAGGAAAAATAGGTGCAGGAGTCATTATCAGGGATCACCATGAACAATTCATTCATGCAATTGCTAGTCCATCGGGGGAAGTTTCTAATAACTTGTCATAAATAGAGGCAACCTACATTGGCATCAGATGGTGCATTGAAAATGGTTTCTCTAAGATCCACCTTGAAGCTTACTCTAACCTCCTCATTCAATGGTTGACCACCAGTTCTCCACCACCTTGGTCTCTTTGCATGCATCTTCAAAAAATCAAAACCTTATGCCATCAGTGTGAAGGCATCAGTATCACACATGTCTTTAGAGAGGCCAATTGCCCTGCTGACTCACTCTCCAAACTCAGCCATGATCTCTCTTCTTTGACTCACTATAACAGTCAGATGGAACTGCCAACACACATAAGTGGGCAGATTCATCTTGACTAATTGAATATCCCTGCTTTCAGACACAAAAGGACCAACAAGGTCAACTTTCCACCACAGATGTCCCCTAATACTACTAATATTTGTGACAGACCATGATCACCATAGAAGAGGAGTCCCAGCAGGCCAAAGCAACGGGAAATATGGCCTCACCAATGACAATAGTTTGCTAACTCTGTTTGTTCTTTTGCAGGTTTCTTTTCTTTATAAACTACCCATTCTCTTGTTATTCTTTCAGAGTGTGGTATTAGCTATCATGCTCATTCTCCTAGAAGAACAACAAGGAACTGATGTAGGTTATAAGAAGAAGAATGATTACTTTTTAAGATACCCCATGGGCCACCTCAAAGCATACATCAGTACCACACACTACCCAACACCTTGGATACTTAGCAACCCCTCAACCATCACCCCTCTGTACACTACTTACACAGTTCTATAACAGCCCACCCTCACCCCTCAAAAATGAGAAAACACA